AGTTCATGCAGGAGAGGGCGAGGGGGCCGCCGGGGCAGCAGCCGGGCCCCTCGCTGTAAACTCCGTCCTCACAGAAAACTGGCAGCTTCTGCCGGGAGGGGACGACCCGCTGTCCTTCCCCAGCGTCAACATCCGAGCTCGTCCTGTGTCTTCACCAAACGCGTCAGGAGACGAGATGGACCAGCCCCGAGGATGCCTGCTCCTGGTGACGCCCAGCACCCCGAACCTGCTTTGCCTTCCACACGCCCTGGAGCTCCAAGGACTAGACATCCACTCGGCATGGGGTTCCTGCCTCCTCCCCATGGGGAGCAGGGGCCGGGGGACACGGTGTGCACACAGGGGGGTGACTGCAGCCACGCAGGGACGAGGCTCCAGGGCTCCAGAGCAGGGCTCCCAGGGCGGGACAGGGCTCCATGTGGAGGCAGGAAGGTGCCCAGGACGTGGCTCATCTTTAAAAAGTCACCAGGTCCCTGCCGGCGGCCAGGCGGCCAACTGTGGCCCTCGGGGAGGGGGAACTGCCGCATCCCCCCTACGTGGCGGCCCCGGCAGGCGGTTCTAAGTCTAAATCACTATGTATTTTCTGTTGCTGTTTCTGTTTTTATACCAATAATAGTAATCATAGTATCCATTTCTCAAATGAGATTTTGGTAAAGGTATTGTTTTGCTCTGCTAATGTTTTGATGTTTATATGGAATATTTTACAAGCCCAGTTTTGATCTGAAATTTACTATTTTGTTGAGGATTTCTTGCTATGAAATCTCAATGTCATAGGCCAATACGTCTAATTGGAATAGTTTATACAGTCACATGTTTGTCTGTCATCTGGTTGGTGAAGCAAAAAAAAGAAAAATACAGCTAAAATCATTTTATTTATTCTAATTCTTGTGGATTACTATAGTTTTTAGGTCAATACAACTTGAATTGTGGAGGCTATCTCAAGTCTTAATATATATATATATCTCCTGTCCTTCCCCAGCGTGAAAATCCGAGCTCGTCCTGTGTCTTCACCAAACGCGTCACTTCTTTTGAAAACAATCGTTTCACACAACCGGTCCCCCTCCAACGAAACACCGGAGGAAGGTGGTGTTTTGTGGAAGACGCGCCGTGTCTGCAAGCACGTCCCCTTCCGACAGGGCGCCGTCACCGTGGGCACCGGGGACCAGCCGGCGTGGACACTGCCCACTGCAAATAAGTCCTTTACATAAACCTCTAAGTTCCCACCCTCCCATCCCCAGTTCTTTTTTCCAAACTGACCTGCAGTTTTCTTGAAATAAAATATTAGACTAGTGCCCCTGAGACCTCGCCAAGCCCTGGTTTAAAAACAAAGCCTGGCCCGCAGCAGGCGCTGGCAGGAGGCGGCCTGTCCCATGGGGTCCGGCCAGCGCTCAGCTGTTGAGTTCCATGGTCTCGTCAGCCTCGTCTGGATTCTTCATCATTTTCTCGTATTTCCTCTTGAAGAAGCCGAGCTGTGGGTGACGGCGTGAAACGTTACGTCGATGGCTTATTGCGGGGGCTCCCCCTGGCTGCCACGGGAACCACGTCTGGGAGCCATGGGCGCGGGGAGGGGGTGTGGACTGGGGCTGACCGGGTATCGGTCATCAGGAGGACGTTGGGGCCCAGGGAGCTGGGCTCCGTTTATTTGCAGTTGGACAGAACACGCAGGGTCGGCCAAGGGGAGGGTCGGGAAGGGCAGGCCAGGCACAAGGCCGAGGAGAGTCATTCGGGGGTCGGTCCCTTCGGTGGTTTTCAGGGACCTGACCTTGCAATGGCCTTGCACTGCCCTTTCTCTTGTGATGGAGGAGGGGCCGAAGGGATGGAAGGCTGATGTCTGACCAGGATGTTCACGACAGAGGCCCCAGGAGCCTCGATGCTGAACGAGGCCCGTGTCTTACCTTCCACAGAACGGCCACCAGCGCTAAGAGCAGAAGGATCCCGGCGACGACGCTTCCCACGATCACCCCGGTGGGGACTTCGGCCTTCTCGTGGGGCTTCGTGATTGTGATGGGAATCTGCCAACGGGAACACACGACAAGGGAGTGACCCAACCAGAGCAGCGACAAGAGGACGGTCCGGCCAGCCACGCTCTCTAACCCCATGCATGGTGTCTAGGGAGGGGCCGGCTGGCTCAGGGCCATGTCCCCGATCACACGCCGGGCAGTACCATCTCCAGAGGAAATGCTCCTGCCACGTCCAGCAAGGGACCCGGAGCCAGTTCCCTCCCCCTAACCGCGCCAGCACCTGGCGATGTCACCGCTGGTGACCCAGCTGCCGGAGTCACCCAGGACATGGCCGGTCGGTGTCCTGCACCGTCTCCTCGCCCGGCGGCAGCGTTCGGAGCTGCTTGGGGAGGGGAGTCAAAGGCCAGGTCACCTGATCGGTTGCTAAACGTAGACCGATATGTCGGGCTCGGGTCGTTCCTTTCAGCTATGAAATTGTCCTTGAGGCCAACAATGATTCTTTTTTTTTAATTGATTTTTTTTTTGAGAGAGAGAGAAACATCTATCGGTTGCCTTCTATCCGTGCCCCAACCTGGGCTTGAACCCGCAGCCAAAATATGTGCCCTGACTTGGAATCGAACCCGCAACCTTTAGGTGCATGGGACGATGCTTCAGGCAACAGAACCACCGGCCAGGGCTAGCTATGACTCAGTATGTCCACTTCCTTTGTAGCCTCTGCGTGTAAGGCTGTGGTCACGACCATCTCCGCCACAAGCATGTTCTCCGAGAGCCGAGGGGACGAGGCCCGATTTAGCTCCTCGGCTGAGCGGTGAGCCTCGGGGAGCAGCGCTGCTCTTCAGCCGGAACTCTGAGCTAGGCTAAACTGGGGTCTGACCTCTGGGAGACCATTTCTTTCCATTTGCATCTTCAAGCGCTAACACGGGCTCTGTAAGTGCAGGGCTGTGCGACTGTGAATCCACACAGTCCACGCCAGGCGGCATCTCTGCTCTCTCGGGGCCCGAACCCCCGAACCGGGGCCCACGGAGCGACAGGGACCAGGAGCATAAGTTACTGGGCCTGGGACTCCCATAAATTCCAGGGTCCCTTACTTACCTACAGGGGGATATCCATCCTTATTCGGATTCCAAATATTATGCCAAAAATTACCCAATTTTTATTTGGAATCAAAAACTATTTTCATAGACACGATAAAGTGGTAGCTGGCCTGTTATTTCTCAGCATTGCTCAGAGAAAAGGAAGGGAAAAAGTTTCCTAAAGGGATCACTAAACCTGTTCATTTAAATTTCAAGTTACTGGCTTATGCTATTATACTATCTATCATTATTTTGGATTGTACGCGTTCTATTTATAAAAAATGTTTACTCTAAAAAAATAAAATAAATAAATTTCAATTAATGCATTCATCTCATACTGCTTTCTAAATAACACACACACACACACACACACACACACACACACAAAACCCCAAAAACTTCAGCAAAGGGCCAGGCACTGGCTGAACACTCCATGTTTCTAAAATGAACTTTAAAAACTACATCCAGTCCCCCTCCCACCCCCCTACCCCCAACCTAAAGTGCCAGCACTGAGGGGGCTTTCCTGGGGTTCTATTTTGGATTTCCCATGCCCTGGCCTCACAGGAGGGGCGGTCCCTGGGGGAGGGGGCGGTCCCGGTGGGAGGGACGCAGACAGTGTGGATGCACTTTCCCTGGACAAGTGAGGGCGGAGGGAGCTCTCCTCTTGGCAGTAAGAGGCCCAGAGGTCAGGGCCGCGGCTCTGAAGCCCGGGCACAGGTCCGCGTGGCTGAGGCACGTGGCCGTGGCCGAGGGGGAGAGTCTGGAACCGCCTTCTGATCCCAACAAGGGCTTTGGGAGGAAGAGGCCCAGGCCCGTGCAGGTGGCGGGCGTGGGGTGCGCTGCAGCGATGGGGGCACCTTCCCCGGGAGCTGCGCCAGGGAAGGGCCTGCCGCTCGGCCAGCAGCCTTGGCTTCCCCCAAAGCAGCTGCTCTGCGAACCCCCTTTCCTCCTCCGGGAGGGAGCCTTGTAGTTCGTAGACGGTGCGGCCCGAGGAGTGGGCGCTCAGAGTGGCGGTGCCCGGCCGAGAGGAAACCGCTCAGGAGAAGCAGCCTCGGGGACGCCTGCTTACCCAGCACACTCGGCACCGCCCTTAAACACACTCAAGTGGGTGACACGGAGAGCCCGGCGGGTGTCAGCAGAGGAGGCAGGAGACCGGGCACTGGCCTAGGCCCGGAGACGGTGGAGCAGGATGGGCGGCACCCCTTGTGGGGTCAGGGCCTCTGACCCAGCTCCGCCAGCACCCGGGGAGGCTCACCGCAGAGACACCGGGCTTTCGGAGTCCAGTGAGCTGCCCGTCCCCACTCCCAGCCTCCGGGCGGGACGTCCCCACTCCCAGCCTCCGAGCGGGGCGCCGGCCCACCCAGGCCCGGAGGGCCGCTCACCGTGACCGTGTTCTCCTGGATCACGTAGACCTGCGGGTTGTAGGTGTCGATCTCCGCCGAGGCCGTGAGCTGCACCGTCTGGAAGGTGGCCTGCGATGGGAAGAGGGACAGGTTTCATCCCAGCGGGAGGACAGGCATGGGACGCGGCGGGCGGGTCATTCATCAGCTTCCGCGTGGACAGCAACAGAGCAAGTGACCATCTGAAGACGCCAGACACTCAGCGTCCCGAAGCCGGGGACACGTGACGGGCCACACACGGCACGTGCCCGGGAACCCCCGCGGGGGTGGCTGCCCTGCGGTAGCGATCAGGCCTCTCTCCAGGTGACTCCCCCTTAAAACACGGCTGCAAAGCCAGGGTTAGAAGTGACGTTTATCCCCGGGAAAGGCTGCAGTGCAGATTTCAGAAAACTTAAGTTTGCGGCCTGAGGGAAAATTGCAAACTCCCTTTTTTAGAGACTCCCATACAGAGAACAGACTGCTGGCGGCCAGAGGGGAGGGGGTGGAGGGGTTGGGGGCAAAGGTGAAGAGGCTGAGAAGCGGATGGTAGCTACAGGACAGTCCCGGGATGGAACGCACAGCGTGGAGAACACAGGCAGCGACATTGTGACAACTATGTATGGGGTCGGGTGGGCACGTTGTAAAGCGTATGATTGTCTAACTGCTGTGTGTATGCCTGACACCAACACAAAACAACACTGAATGCAGACGGTAACAGAAAAAGAAAAATACTAACTCGATAGCTGTTATTTATTTGCCTGCATAATGATAAATGGAATGGGAGAGCGGGTGGGAAAGGGAAGAGAATGCTGCTTTTGGGGTACACGGTAAAAGGACACTGCTTAACATGTCCTGAGCTTGACCGTACGTGTCCACAGCGGACGACCCAAACCTTTCCTCACGCTGTCACAAGACTAATCATTTCAGGTTTCCCAATGTAGGCATTTCTATAAAAAGCACCGGATCTGGGTCCGGCCTAGAGAAGGCACGTGTAGTTTACGCTGGTGTTTCTAGGAACCTACTATGAAATAACTTTACATGCATTCCTGGATCTACTATCAAAATAAACTATTTTCATGGATACATCACGGATCTGTCTGTTCTGTTCTCTGTGATGTGAGCACTGGGCCTGATGCTCACTTTGAACTAGAACACAGTGCCTGGATCTGAGAGCTGCCCACACCCCCTGGCTGCCAGGACTCGGTTTTGGGGGGCCTGGGCACAGGGATTAAGGGGCCCCATCAGTACATTCGCTGGGCTGTGTCTGGGAGCCAGAAGGGGAGCAGTGAGCCTCCTGTCATGGCCTCCATCCTCACTCTCTCAACATGGGTACTGCATCTGAAACTAACCCTGGTCCCTGGTCTCTGAAACATTCCTTCCTGGGGGAACAGCCTGGCTGGTGTGGCTCAGTGACCGAGTGTTGACCTATGAACCTGGAGGTGATGGTTTGGTTCCTGGTCAGGGCACAGGCCTGGGTTATGGGCTTGATCCTGAGTAGGGGGCATGCAGGAGGCAGCTGATCAATGATTCTCATCGTGGATGCTTTTCTCTCTCTCTCCCTCTCCCTTCCTCTCTGAAATCAGTAAAAATATATTTAAAAAAATAAAAAGTGGTGTGCACACTGGGCTCTCACCAGAGAAGGGGGGAACCGAGGTGGAGTGGGTACCGGCTCCAGGCAGAGAGGAGCCTGTGTTAGATCCACCTGTTGGCAGCTATGAGATCAGCGGGGAGTTCCAGGAGGGGAGGACCTTCCTCTCTGAGGTCCGGGCGCATTGGGTCCGGGCGCATTGGGTCCTGGCACATTGGATCTGGGCACATTGGATCGGGCACTTTGGATCTGGGCACATTGGATCGGGCACATTGGATCTGGCACATTGGATCTGGGCACATTGGATCGGGAACACTGGATCCGGGCACATTGGATCGGGCACATTGGATTGGGCGTATTGGGTCCGGGCGCATTGGGTCCGGGCACATTGGGTCTGGGCGCATTGGATTGGGCACATTGGGTCTGGGCGCATTGGATCCGGGCACATTGGATCGGGCACATTGGGTCTGGGCACATTGGATCTGGGCGCATTGGATCTGGGCACATTGGGTCCAGGCGCACTGGGGCCGGGCGCATTGGAGCCGGGCGCATTAGGTCTGGGTGCACTGGGTCCGGGCGCATTGGGTCTGGGCGCATTGGAGTCAGGCGCATTGGGTCTGGGTGCATTGGGTCCGAGCGCATTGGGTCTGGGCGCATTGGAGCCGGGCGCGGTGAGGACATGGGAAGCCAGACAGTCAGGAGGAGGCAGAGGGAGACAGAGCAGGGCCGCCCCCAAGGCAGCAGTGGGCACCTGGCTCTGTGCCCAGGACTCTGCTGCCAGAGGCTGCCCGGAGGCTGAGAAGCAGGTGCCTCTGAGCAGGGTGAGCGCTGGGAGGGAGGGAGCACAGGCCCCCAGGCGACACCTCTGGCCACAGGGCAGGCCCCTCGGCAATGACGGCCCACGGCCCGGGGCGCGGTGAACCGTAACTAGCGGGTACTCACGGCAGCGAAGGTGCCGTTCCAGATGCGCGTGGACACGTTCAGGAAGTACTCGGCCCGCACCTGCGGGTCTCGCAGCCAGCAGGTGACGTTCCCGCAGCGGGCGGTCCTGCAGTTCTTCACGCACAGGGAGAGGGGGAGGGTGAGTGCGGGCTTTCAGAGGAACGGCCTCCCGTTCCAGCCACAGACTTCACAGCCACAGACTTTACAGCCACAGCCGCTCCAGCCACAGACCCTACAGCCACAGACTTCCCAGCCACAGATGCTACAGCCACAGACGGCACAGCCACAGACTTTACAGCCACAGCCGCTCCAGCCACAGACCCTACAGCCACAGACTTCCCAGCCACAGATGCTACAGCCACAGACGGCACAGCCACAGACTTTACAGCCACAGCCGCTCCAGCCACAGACCCTACAGCCACAGACTTCCCAGCCACAGATGCTACAGCCACAGACGGCACAGCCACAGACTTTACAGCCACAGCCGCTCCAGCCACAGACCCTACAGCCACAGACTTCCCAGCCACAGATGCTACAGCCACAGACGGCACAGCCACAGACTTTACAGCCACAGCCGCTCCAGCCACAGACCCTACAGCCACAGACTTCCCAGCCACAGATGCTACAGCCACAGACGGCACAGCCACAGACTTTACAGCCACAGCCGCTCCAGCCACAGACCCTACAGCCACAGACTTCCCAGCCACAGATGCTACAGCCACAGACGGCACAGCCACAGACTTTACAGCCACAGCCGCTCCAGCCACAGACCCTACAGCCACAGACTTCCCAGCCACAGATGCTACAGCCACAGACGGCACAGCCACAGACTTTACAGCCACAGCCGCTCCAGCCACAGACCCTACAGCCACAGACTTCCCAGCCACAGATGCTACAGCCACAGACGGCACAGCCACAGACTTTACAGCCACAGCCGCTCCAGCCACAGACCCTACAGCCACAGACTTCCCAGCCACAGATGCTACAGCCACAGACGGCACAGCCACAGACTTTACAGCCACAGCCGCTCCAGCCACAGACCCTACAGCCACAGACTTCCCAGCCACAGATGCTACAGCCACAGACGGCACAGCCACAGACCTTACAGCCACAGACGCTACAGCCACAGACGTTGCAGCCACAGACGTTGCAGCCACAGGCGTTGCAGCCACAGGCGTTGCAGCCACAGGCGTTACAGCCACAGACATTACAGCCACGGACGGAACAGCCATAGATGCTACAACCACAGACGTTACAGCCACAGACTTTACAGCGAGAGACGTTACAGCCACAGATGGGCAGGAGGGCTGCAGGGAACTGGCGGGAGCTCTAGCTCTTCACTGCGCCCACATGGACAGGCACACACCCGCCACCTGCCAGTGCCCCTGGGGGGAGGCCCCAGCGTGAAGGTGGGGAGGAGGGTACCCCACACTGCCTAGTCACCCTTTCTGACAAAAACACCCCAAACGAATCCGTGTTTATCAACCATTACTGGCTGAGCAAGTCGCTGAATGCACATACGAGAGGCCTACGCCTTAGTCACACATGAACCAGAACTGACAGACTTTCCTTCCATTAAAGGGAAGCTGAGTAAGAGAATCAGGAGCTGCCTAGGACCAGGGCGGGGAGGGACTGGGGGTGGGGGACGAGGAGCCCTGGGTCAGGGCAGCTGGACACAGGACGCCGTGCACTTGCCCAAACCAGCCGCCTCTACAGCCCCCGAGGGTTGCACTGTGGACTCTGACTGGCGTCTCAGATGCAGGTCCATCCCGTGACCAGCGCACCATCCGATGGGGGGCGGGGGGTGTCGGGGAAGCTGTGCTGATGTGGGGGCCAGGGGTGCACAGCAGAGTCTGCACTTTCCACTCAACTTTGCTGGGAACCTCAAGCTGCTCTGAAACATGGTCTGTTTTAAAAAGCCTGTGACGGTCACATGGCCTCTGACATGCACGTAGTAGCGCACACACGTGTCCATGCGCACATTAACGCTGAGGGCAGGAGGCGGCTGTTTGTCACACGAGTGCTCAGCTGCTCTCTCTCCGAGAGCTGCCGTTTCCCTGTGGTTTTCTGAGTCGTCGTGTTTGGTTTATGTTGTTCCCACGTAGCAACCGTCATTTTGACACAATCAAACCGTTTCCACGAAAGGGAGGACATGCCGAGGGGCTAGCGTGTCGGCAAACCCTGAGACGAGCTTCCACTGGGGATGCTCAGCTATTAGACGTCAACCACATGCTGCTGTGATCACACTCGAACCACGGAAACAGGGAGCGACTGCTCCCTCCTCCCTACCCGTCCACCCATCACCCCATAAACAGCTTCATCCTGACCTGGGTGTGCGTTTCCCCCCCTGATTCATCCTGGCTGAGAAAGGCACACGGGAAACCTATGACATTCGAGAGCAGGGGTCAGGGGGCCGGGGGGGGGAGGGCTTCATTTCCAGGCGACTCCGAAAAGGAATCCCCGAGGGAACTGCCCGCACGAGCCCGTCCTCACCAGGTCTTTGAGGTGCCGGAAAGTTTCGCTCTTGAAAGACACAGAAGCCGGCGTCTGTCCTATTTTCAGCGGGTCCACGTCGGCACTGCAGCTGATGTCGCCGGCCTGTAGAGGGGGCAGCACGTCAACTAGGAGGCCACGCGGTTTGTGGGGTCCCTCAGCCTGTGAGGCATCTACTGGCACAGGTCGGGGCTGGGGGCGGGCAGGCTGCCCACGTGGGCCCACTTCTCAGCCTCACTAACATCACCCCGAGCTCACATGGTCCTGCCTGACTTGGTGGGCTGCTGGGTCCCACCTGCAAGGAGACAAATTCGCAACAACAACAGACGGAGCTGCCCGGCCGGTGTGGCTCAGGGGTTGAGCACTGGCCTATGAACCAGGAGGTCAGGGTTCGATTCCCAGTCAGGGCACATGTCCAGGTTGTGGGCTCCATCCCCAGTAGGGGGTGTGCAGGAGGCAGCTGATCCATGATTCTTTCTCATCATTGATGTTTCTCTCTCTCTCTCCCTCTCCCTTCCTCTCTGAAATCAATAAAAATATATTCAAAAAACACACGAAGAATAGCCTGAGTGATGTAACGCAGGGCTCTCTGCGGTGGAGCACTTTAGGGTTTTGATTTCCTGTCGTCCCCTGCGCACCCCGAGTGACCTCAGCGCAGCTAAGCGCCAGCTGGCGCTGGCCATGTGGGTCCGAGTCGCGCCCTCAGCCCAGCTGTGAGGACCACCGGGCCTTGAGGACGAGCAGGTGCTGCGGCCGGAGCCACCGAGACGCCACTCAAGCGCCCGGGGCCTGGGCCTCGCCTTCCTCA